CGCAGCTCCACCTCCCCATCACCTAGTGTCCATCTCCCTGCCTTGCCCCGTGTCCGCTCAGTCCTCCTGCCCGCACACTCACGCTGCCCGAGGCGAGTCTGCGATGCCCTGTGCCCCACTCCCCAGCGCGTCCCCGTGGACCGCGCTAGAGACGGCTCCCGCAGGGTCTCTACCTGAAACACGTGGGAACCCTCAGCCCACCGAGTCAGGGAATTTCAATGGCCAGAGGGTGGCAGTCGCCATTCTGTTCCCCTCCGCTGTCCTCTGTCCCTCCACGGTCCATCTCTGTCCCCTCCGCTGACCTCCTCTGTCCGCCTCTTCTGTCCCCTCCAATGTCCGCCCTGTTTCCCTCCACTGTCCTCCTTTGTCTTCTCCACTGTCCTCCTCCGTGCCCTCCACTGCCCTCTGTCCCCTCCACGGTCCATCTCCGTCCCCTCTGCTGCCATCCTCCATCCCCTCCACTGTCCTGCTCTGTTCCCGCCAATGTCCTCTGTTCCTGTCCAGTGTCCACCTCTGTTTCCCTCGGCTTACCTCCTCTGTCCCCTCCACTGTCCTCCACTGTCCACCCCCACTGACCTCCTTTGTCCCCTCCACTATCTTCTGTTGTCCCTTCTACTGACCATCTCTGACCCCACCACTGTCCTCCACTGTCCACCCCCACTGACCTCCTCTGTCGCCTCTGCTGTCCGTCTCCATCCCCTACGCTGTCCCCTGTCCCCTCCACTGTCCACATCTGTCCTCCACTATCCACCTCTGTCCCCTCCACTGTCTCTTCTGTTGTCCCTTCCACTGACCTCCTCTGTCCCCTCCACTGACCTCCTTTGTTCCTACCCACTGTCCATCTTTGTCCCCTCCACTGTCCATCTCTGTCCACTTCCTTGTCCTTCTCTGTCCCCTCCACTGTCCATGTCTGTCCCCTGCTCTGTCCGTCTCTGTCCCCGCCACTGTCCTCCTCTGTCCCCGCCACTGTTTATCTCTGTTCCTCTCCACTGTCCATCTCTGTCCACTCCACTGTCCATCTCTGTCCCCTCCACTTCCCTTCTCGCTTCCTCCCCACTGTGCACCTTTGTGTTCTCCTCCCTGTTCCGGCTCTTTACCCGCAGTCAGGCTTGCGACACCTGCTTCCCCAGCTACCCTGCATGCAGCTTTCAATGTCACCCCGGCACCTGCAGCTCCCCTTCCTTTCACAGCAGCCCTGGGGGACGCATGACTGCATCCCCGTTTGACAGACCAAGAAGCTGAGGTGCAGACACCTTGCACGAACCACACAAGGCCACAACAGAAAGTGCACATGTTGCACCTGGGGCTCGTGTTCTCCCAGTGGTGCCTGGAGATGACGCACCCTCCCCTGCTCCGTCCGACTGAGTGTTCTCCCTGACTGCAACATCTGTCACAAACAAGCAAGGTGTGTCTTCTCCGAGGCCCACGCTCCTGTTCTGTGGTCAGGAAGACACACCTGTGGTCAGCCCCACCACCAGTATGTACTATGGGGGTGTATGCAGGTTTGGGCATTGCTCCTCGGGGTGCACTCTCTGCTCCCAAGGTCAGGCCTTTTGCCCAAGACTGACACCATCACCCTGCTCTCAAGGCCTTCCAGGTGCCTCCTGGAGTGGCCGGGACAATCAGGCGTGTGTGTGTGTGTGTGTGTGTGTGAGCACGGCAGGCTCTGGCTCAGGCATCTGGTTCGTGGTGTCGCCAGTGTTCAATGTTTGCCCTGCTTCCTTCCAGGGCTGGAGCCTGGGGCAGCTGTGTTCCTCTGGAAGCAGGCAGGGCTGGCTTCAGAATTCCAGCCGTGGAGTGCCCTGTCTGTCCCTGGCTGTGTGAGCCCACTCAGTCGCTCGACTTCTCTGAGCTGGATCCTCAGTGTGCAGCCTGGAGAGCACATCAAGTGGGTCCTCCCCAACAGCACATATGAGGTGCTGCTTCTGGGGTGGCAGCCCGCGCCGTAAAAGACAGAACACGCTGTGGCCTCATCTCAAATGGAACCTGGACATTTCGGCACATCCGTTACAGGTTCTTACCTATTGTCTTCTCTCAGCCTTGCCCGGGTGAATGGCGGGACCCAAGGTTTCACTCTCAGAGGCCAATGTCAACCATACTGGGCTCCGTGGCTTTCCTCGGCTGTTGCGTGTCAATCTCCCCGTCAGCTGCCTGCATCTCTCGGCCCTTTGCCTGTAACAGGTGCTCTGTGGGGGAAGTGCAGACCCTGTCAAAGAAGCCTTGAAAACTAGGGTTTTGTGAGTAACCGCCGGCTCTGCAACCGCAGGCAGCACTGCACTTCTGAGCACGGAGTGCAGGCGTGCAACTGCTTAGGTGACAGCTCTTGTCGCATGTCGGAGGGGCTCCTCGCAGTCAGCCTGTGTGAGGTCACTGGGTGTCCTCAACCCCCCCCCCCCCGCCCTCACTCATCCCCATCTCTCTTGCTGCTCTGCCGTCTTCACAAGCCCAGTAAGTGCCACCGTTAGCCACACAAAGACTCACAGCGGAAAGCTGGATTCATAGACCTCCATTCCCCCTTTCTCATGTACTCGGACAACCACTCGAACTCTCCCGAGCTGCCTCTCTCGCCTGCAGGAGTCCTGGCAAATTCTCATCGCATTGGCCTCTCCGCATCCTCCACGCTGTGTCCGTCACCCTGGTTGCCCTTCAGACTCCGTGTGCACTCTCCCTGTGCTGCTGCCCGTGAGCTCTAGGCAGGCAAGACCTTGGGGCCAGGGCACTGGGCAGTCAGGGCTCACCTGCTCAGGTTGCCTGCGGTCCCGGATGGTAGGTGGAGCCATGACAGAATGCATTCTGTGGTTTTGTTTTATTTATAGGTGTTTAGGTGGGATGGTACCTGTGGTTCCTCTTCATCTACAGTTTGCGCAAGGAAAAGTTCCCAAAGTGACCCGTGGGCAGACCTTGATATGCTGTAGGTGCATCCACCTGAAAAAAGAACAAAACCCGCAAAACTCTACTGGGTGCACGTTAAGCCATCCCAGCTGGTAGCCCTAGTATGCATTAGAGTTCTTCAAACTTTTCACTGAAATCCATGCTTTTAAGATCGATGCATGGCACCACGCTTGCGTCTAAGAAGTTTCCACATCGCTGTGCATGGAAAGCGCATGGTGTGTGATCCTGCCATTCTCCAGAGGGCAGAAATGCAGTGTCCCCATCTGTGGTCATATGCATGGCTAAGGGTTCTAAGCAACACATTTGTTTTTATAAGTCTTCCGTTTTCTGTGGAGTGTGTCTGGGATGGTCCAAGGGTAAGGTGGGAGATGCGGGAGACCCAGCTAGGAGGCTTCGTGTCGTACAGGTTGGAAGCACTTCTGTGTTGAACGATGGCTTCCAGGGAGAAGGAGATGTTTCTTCCTTTGGATTCTCCGTGACTTTTGCTCCTGTCTGGCCTCTATGGCATCTGCCGCCTTTTCTGCTTTCAAATCACGATGCCACCAGGGTTCATGTCACTTCTCACGCGTGTGCCAGTGCAAAAGCACGATTGTGGGCACCCGGGAGATCTGATGATGGGTGG